TTTTTTTTGCATGGAAACTTGCATGGCAGCTAAAAGATCTTCTTTCTTAGATTTATAGATACTTGTTATATTCGTTGTGTGGTTTTACTCAGAAAAGTAAAGCCTAGAAAACTAAAGAAAGTAAAAACCTTAAATCCTAGAAAACAGGAAATCTTGGAGAAACTAAAAGAACTTACAACTTGGAATAGAAAAAAACTTGAAAACTGAAAAGAAGATGAACTGAAAAAACTAAGAAAGTTCGATCTCTGTCTGGGGATATTCATCGCGTGAGATGGTCTAGCACAGAATTTCGCTCTATAATATGTGAGGCCATTCCTTGGAGGTTGAAAGTGGTATATCCCCGACAAACGGCTGTGCTTGGGCAAGTTAACAGTTTTTGGTAGCCTGAACTGGCTCGAAAATTGTCTCAAGTTTGTTGATTATCTTTCTGCAAGTTTTGAATCCTTCAAATATACATGATTGGAAATAGGTTTGAATGGTTGTACATGCTTGAAATTCAGTAATCCCACTTAATTTATTTTTCCCAAAAACCTATTCTCTAGGTGCTTGTTCGTCAATGTTATGTAATTATACTAGACTCGCATCAAATAATTTGCCTGAATTTTCCGTAATGAATTTGTTGAATTGATTGACCAAAATTGTGGATTGTCTACAGCTATTGGGTAGCTGCATACAATAATCACAAGTTGAAAAATGAAGCTTCTCGCAATAGCTCTGGCGACCCACCCCAAACAGTCTCGGTTATTCAACCTCCAGCAACAAACCAGTGAAAGCTAGAAAAACTCGTCTTAAGTGATACTCAGGTTCGTAAGCAAAACTTTGCCTGTTCAAGTTCTGGATAGAGTTCCCTTGATAAAGATGTGTATAATGGCTAGCATAATCTATCTGCTACTAGAGAAAAGCTGTGAATCATGGTTCAATAGAGTAAGCTTTGTATTCCAGTTTTCAACTTATTATGGTAGGCGATAGCTTTCTTTTCTTTCTTTTTTTTTTTTTTTTAAAGGGAGTTAGAAGATTAAAAGAAAATGAGGAATGTTTTATGCATGTGGTTAGGGGTTTTGTTCATTAACAAAAATATAGTGTACTTCATTGGATTCTCCTGGAGCGAAATCTTGCATTTTACATTTTCATCGTTTATTGCGTTAGAACGCAAATAGATATATATCCCGCATTTGTGCATGAGGTTGTTTTTCTCATAAAATTGGAT